TTTTTATGCCTTTCCGTAATTCGACACTGTCTCTGCTGTTGTTGTTGTTGATGATGATGTTGTTCTCTTTTTGTTGCTGTTGTAGCTGTGTGTGCTTGGCTATGTTGTGACAGCTCATTACGCCTGCGCAAAAATCACCATCATCCATTAATTTAAGTAATTAAGTTCGACATTAAAATGGGATTAGAGCCAAAAGCAGACGCAATACCCACGCGGCTAAAAATGTTACCATATTTTAAGACTGGATTAAGTATTTACATATATTTGAAATTGATTTTACACTTAAATACGAGCAGATTTCTAGTAGTTTCAAAGCACCAGCCAGAAAATATACTAACTGGATTAAACGGTATACCTAAATATGGAAGGCAGGTGAAAACGAGGATTCTTTAAAAAATTATTTATTCTACGGTTTTCAAAACTGTAAATCTGCATCATTCCAAAATCGATCCCCACTACGTTCTCAAAATGAAAACTTTAAGCTCGGGCGTATGGTTTTTAGGGATTAGTCTGACTCTGATTTCTCACCACGAATTACTTGCTAAATAATTCTGTAATTTCATTAAATAATTCTAATCTAGGATCGAGTAATCAGTAGAGATTTTATTCTGCTGATGAAAATGTGAAGATCTTCAGCATTCTTGAACGCATATCGAGCCAGTCATTACCGACCCAGGGACATAGGCGACAAAAAAAAATCATAAAATTTTAGTGCCTTTTTGTATTTCTCATGTCCCTCTTGAACACTTGGATGCAGTCTTTTCCTGCAAAGCTTTTTTCCCCAGCGCCCAGGAAGTTGGGTTGTGCTTTCGCAGTTTCGTTCCTAGTAATCGCTTTTGGCAATACCTTGTGATGTGGCTGTTATTTCGGCTGCGTCTGCAGCCTCACAATCATCTGATTCCAAGCTCAGCTGACTAAGAAGGATATAGTGCGCTTTCGACGTGACACCTCTGTTATTCCCCCAAAGGGTTTGCCTCAGACGATCGAGGAGTATCCATGCAGTTTCCTGAAGAGTAGCACATCGACCGCTGTAGTCTATTTGTCTATTAGTGTTGTTAATCTTCCAGACAACGGTGACATCGGAGTCCTATAGTATATTTGGCCTTACTTCGTGAATACCGATTGGACAGTTATTCATTAAAACCCTCACCAGGAGTGATAGCTGTGGCTTTATGAGTGTGAGGAGTGCCCTCCATTACCCCCTGTCCATCCTCGGCAAGAAGAACTTTGCGATCGTGCATTTACTGATTTTCGCCCAGCGCTCGCTGAACTGCTATGAGAC